TTTGGGATCTATGACAGTGAGTTATTGTGGGATAACTCCCCCTGAGGATTAGTTGAGGTGTATGTAAGTTTGTCTGGACACTTCAGTTATTAAAAAAAAATTATACATATAGAGTGAATCTCTATATATACCCCAACTTTACTCTTAAATGGACCCATTTCACCATTTGTAAACTCTTATCTGAAAAAGAACCTTAGTCGTGTACTTCCAAAGAGATGGGGGTGTATATAGTATTCTTGTAATCCACTAGCCCATTGGTGAAATAGATATCACTACAGAAAGCCCAAGTAGATAGAGGCTAAAGAATCAGCTTATCCCATCCAATTCATAATTCTTAAAACTGAAGCCTAAACGTAAAAATCAAAAATACCTCTTAAAAAATTATCAATGGAGCATTTCACAACGCCAGATTGGCTAGATTTTACAGTAAATTATCAATGGAGCATTTCAAAAATCAAAGAACAAAGAGTAATATAGAATTACGTATGGGTGTTTCTGTATTACAGTTAATTGTTGGCTCTCGTTCTATTTCAAATAATGACATCAATCAATTATATATACAAGGAGATTATAAAATTGTCCAAAAATTGCTAGTAACGAAACTAATTATAATCTACTTTCAAATTTGATTATATTATATGTTACTAATTAGTAACGATATCATAACGATATTTTGGTATATAATATTTGACGTTGATTGATAATATATTAAATTTTGATATTGATACAAGTTATATCTAATTAAATGATATTGACATAGTAAACAATGTGATTTTACACAAATTAGAGGATTTATATGTTATATAATTAGTAACATATAATCTAATAGATAGAGGCCCAATAAGTAGTAATCTTACCGCCATTTATTATTTAAACAAACGCAAACCTCGTTTAGTAAAGGATTTACCGATACTATCTAACACTAAAGATAAAAAAAGGAAAAAACAATTTATTGACATCATCTAACACAGGAGACAAAATCTCAGTCTAGTTAACGGGAGCTTGAATTTTACAGAAGCGCGAATGTCCACACCTAACAGACATGGGAATGTTCAACATGGAAGTTATCTTCTGCACAATTATCGGCTGTAACCCATGTTTCTTTTCCTCGTCCGAGGTTAATTTCAATACTGTGCAACACACAAGGAAGGATAAGCTTAAGCTAATACAACAAATGGCAATACCAAGCGTTAAAGAGGGTGCCAAAGCAACAAAAGTTCCTGTAATGAAAGCAAGCACCATTGCTACCATTGAATACATGGTAAGGTGATATGCAATCAGGACGAGAGACCCTACGTTTTGGTAAAGCTTAACCGACATGACAAAGTGAATAAGGACAGCAAAAACAGAGAGGATCATGGCTATGGTATCCAATATAATAAATGCTTGAAAAGCTGACTTTCTACTTAGGATTGCACTACCTTCATTCTGACCTTTTTCGCTTTAGTAACCACCAGGAATGGTGAAAGCTGCCGCGAAGGTTACTGTTGCTATGAGTGCAGCCACTACCAATTGCGGACCTCTTGCTTTCTCCGGTTCAAATACACTTTCACTGAAGGGTTTTCTTTTTCTGCGTATAACACCTGTTGGGCGTTGTCCGTTGCAAACCTCTTGGGTCAATGCTTGAATTTCTTGCTGTTTTGAATGAGTAAATCAATGAAAAAAGTAAAGTAATTAAATTAATTAAATCAACGAAAATGACAATTTCAAGTCACAACATTGCATTTGCATAAATATATATTAACGAAAATCCTCAAATGCATACCGTCGCATTTTCTCATAATCCAGATTTCTTTTTACCAGTACCTGTAGACATGATCTGGATTTTGAAAATATGTGGATGTTTGCATTAGAGAATGATTCTATGTACTTATACGTACTAAGTGAAGATGCCGGCTATTACCTCAAGCTCTGGAAAGCCATAGCTTAATATACTTTCGACACTAATATTTTGCCTGTTGATAACCTGAAGGTTGCTTTTATGCTTCAAGTCGGATGGTTAAACTAAACAGTATCCATAAAACTAACAGTTTAATCGTAAGCATAGAGCCAATAGTTTAAGGAAATAAGGTTGTATTTTTGTTAACAGTTATAATTTTTGGTCTCATGTTAAAGTTTCATGGGAAATAATATTAAAACCTGAGTGGTGGCAGAGTTCAAAAGGTCGAGTCATAAGGATTGCATGTTTACGAATAGCTATAGTTTTTGACCTACTGATAACACATCTAATCCTAACGATAACATCATTGTATTATAGTAAATTCTTAGAGTTGAAGGTGAACTAGATGTTTAGTGATTCTTAAAACCGGCTAATCTTTTAGATTTTTAAAACAAACCCTAGGGGGTCTATGAAAATTTCCCCACTATAACTATGAAAAACTTCATCATATAATTTTGAAGATCTAAACCATTGATATATAAAAACAATTGATGTGTACTTCCAAATGCAAAGGAAAACAAGAATTTGGAAAGAATCCCATGAAAAATAAATTATGATAGTTTGCATAGTTTGGATTCATATGTTTTGATTCACATCTTCTCTATAGAATATACACATGGACCATTTTGTGATCCTTGCATACATGTATAAAGAAATATTTGCAAATTTGCAATATTCTAAGATTAAGAAAGTTGCTTTCATACTTGTTCATATTTTTTCTTTTTCACAAATATTATATGGTCTCTTTGTTTTCCTTTTGAATTTTATGCGTTTCCTTACAGTATCAAGCCGCTATTTAGTAGAGTTGGTGTCGATTTGGTTAGACTTATTTACTAGTTAAAGAACTTTTCTAATATCAAGAGCTTTTCTCAAAAAAATTTGTATTATTATTATTATTATTATTATTATTATTTTGGTAATTAAGGAACCAAGGCTAGCTTGCGAACACCTTAAATAATCTTCAGGGTCAATGAACAACCTACGAACCCAAAGGACCAGGTAAGCCACAATTTATTGTGGTAGATGACCCCAAGATTTGAATCCAGGAACTCAAAGAAGAGAACAAACCTTCTTAACCGGTAGGTCAACCCCTTGAGATTGAAAAAAATTTGTATTATTATTTGATTGCAATTCAAAAAAAGATTAGGTTAAATCACTTTTTGGAAAGATAGATATCACATGATTTTCAAAACAAAAAGAAAAGATTACTGCAAGTGCTTTCATGAACATAGAAAGCAACTTTCTCAATTTCAATGAAAACATTGCAATAAGAGCATAGGAAATATTTAAGTGTTTTTAACTATTTGAAAACAGTTTCTACAAAACAAAAAACACTTTCTGTCAAACAAAAAACACTTTCAAACACATTATTATTACAGCCCACTTTCAATTTGGTCCTCAACTTTCAACCCAATAAAGGGGGCTAAGAAAGAAGTTAGCTTACCTACTTTTCTTAGTTAAATTTTTTTTTTTTTTTTTGACTCATGAATCAAATGGAATTACTTTTTTTGACATTTTGTGGGTGATGTGAACATTGTTTTTCCCATGAATTTGAATTGTTTTTTAATAAAACCATTGAATTTTTTTTTTATTTTTTCATTCTCAAAAGAATCAATGTTGTATATTTTAAGTAGAGTAAAGAGGGTAGGAGGTTTAAATTTCAAGAGATAAAAAAAGTGAGAGAAGTCTAGTTTGGAGGCTTTATTTAATTAATTTAATATTCATACAAGTCTCTCTTGTTGCCATATTTGTATTTATGAAATTTTAATACAAATCTTACTATATGCATAAATAATTCACTATATAATTATAAAGTTTTTAATAATGATTATATATATATATATATGTTGAAAGCATTTTTAAACTTCGAAAATATATAATCTTTTTCTTTTTAGTTGATTCTTTCCAATTTTCAGGTAGAACTCAAAACAAATTCATAAACGAAGGGTTTAAACTTTAAAGCACTTTTTTTAAGTATGAAGTGTTTGCATATTTTTTGTTCAGGTTTTACAATTACAAGAGAGATAATTTATACATATATAACTCCTAATGATTTACCTAGGGATCTATGACAATAGATTGCTGTAGGATAGCTCCCCCTAAAGATTAGTCAAAGTGTACGTAAACTGGTTTGGATATTCTAATTATTAAAAAAAAAAAAAAATTATACATATATAGTGAATCTCTATATATACCTCAACCTTATTCTTAAATGTGCCAATTTCACCATTTGTAAACTCTTATCTGAAAAAGAAACTTAGTGGTGTACTTCCAAAGAGAGGGGGTGTATATAGCATTCCTGTAATCCACTAGTCCATTGGTAAAATAGATATCACTGCAGAATGCCCAAGTAGATAGAGGCTAAAGAATCAGCTTCTGCCATCCAATTCTCAATTCTTAAAACTAAAGCCTAAAGCCTAAACGTAAAAATCAAAAATACCTCTTAAAAAATTATCAATGGAGCATTTCACAACGCCAGATTGGCTAGATTTTACAGTAATCATGACATAAAGAGTTCTCTCAAAAATCAAAGAACAAAGAGTAATATAAAATTACGTATGGGTGTTTCTATATTACAGTTAATTGCTGGCTCTCGTTCTATATATAAATAATGACACCAATCAATTATATATACAAAGAGATTATAGAATTGTCCAAAAGTTGCTATTAACGAAACTAATTATAATCTACTTTCAAATTTGATCATATTATATGTTTCCAATTAGTAATAATATTTTAGTACAAAATATTTGATATCAGTAGATAATATATTAAATTTTAATATTAATACTATTTACATCTAATTAAATAATATTGATATTGTGAACAGTATGGGTTTACACAAAATTTGAGGATTTAACATATAATCTTACTAGATAGAGGCCCAATAAGTAGTAATCTTACCGCCATTTTGTCTCTCCTGCAAACTTCATTATTATTTAAAAATGTAAACCTCGTTTAGTAAAGGATTACTGATACCATCTAACACTAAAAATAAAAAGAAAAAAAACACAATTTATTGACGTCAGCTCTAACACTAAAGACAAAAATTCAATCCAGTTCTTTTTGTCTTAATAATTGTAACATTGTCTTTTAGTATTTATTGATACCAAGCTTGAATTTAACAGAAGTGCTAACGTCTACCCCTAAAAGACATGAGAATGTTTAACATGGAAGCTATCCTCTGCATTTTAAGTAGCTGAACCATTTCTGGAAGTTTCTATCTGATTCGTGCGTAACTTTTGTTCCCTCCACTCGTCGATGATTACTTTCACCATTATGCCACTCACGAGGATGCAGAAGCCGATGCAAATACATAAAATGGCAGAAAAAAGCCCCACAGGGGGTAGCAAAACAGCACGAATGCCACTAACGAAAGCAATCACCATTGCTATCAGGGCAAAAATGGTACCGACAACTGCAGTGTCGAAGAGAAACAGTACTTCTCGGAAAAATTTAAACTCCATGGAAAAGTGAAAAAGGATAGCCGAAAGAGAGAGGAACATGGCGATGAGATCCGCTATAATAAATGTTTGAAAATGATAGTTTCTACTTAGGATTGCAGTACCTTGATTCTGACCTTTTTCGCTTTGGTAACCAGCAGGCACGGTGAAAGCTGCTGCGAAGGTTACTGTTGCTATGAGTGCAGCCACTATCAAATGCGTATCTCTTTCTTTCGGATCCAGTTCAAATACATTTTCACTGTTGGGTTTTCTTCTACTACAGATAACACCTCTTGGACGTTGTCCATTGCAAACATCTTTGGTTAATGCTTGAATTTCTTGCTGTTTTGGATGAGTAAATCAATGAAAAAAAAAAAAAAAATAAGTATTAAATTAATTAAATCAAGGAAAATGGCAATTTCAAGTCACAAAATTGCATTTGCATACATATATATTAACGAAAATCCTCAAATGCATACCATCACATTTTCTCATAATCCAGTTTTCTTTTTATCAGTACCAATAGACGAGATATAGATTTTGAAAAAATGTGGACGTTTGCATTAGAAAATGATTCTATGTACTAATACCAAGTGAAGATGCCGGCCATTACCTCAAGCTCTGGAAAGCCATAGCTTAATATATGTTTGACATTAATATTTTGCCTGTTGATAACCCGAAGGTTGCTTTTATGCTTCAAGTTGATACTGTTGAGCTCGAATGAATTATTTCGTTTTGAAGCTGCAAGAACATGGAGAGGAGTGTTCCCCTTGGCATCCTTCTGATGTATAAGACTCCTAGCTAGTGGATTTTGTAGGAGAACATCCACATCTTCTTCATGTAAACTCACCATAGCAAAGTGAAGGAAATTCCAACCTCTAGCATGCACCAGTTCACAACATTGTGGAGAATGAAAAAGAATTTTTTCTATTACCTTTAGATTCCCTTGACTGCTAGCCACATGAAGAGGTGTCATTTTAAGATCCTTGTCAGGTATGCATGCAGCAGATTCATCAAATTCTAATATGACTTGTGTAATTGAAGTAAGATTGTAATATGCAGCATAATGAAGTGGAGTCCACCCATATTGGTCCACTTTTTTTGTCAAACTCTTCTTTTTCTCAAGTATTTTTCTCGTCCTGAGACAAAAAAGACAACAACAAACTAAATAAATAACAAATAATGTTATACATCCCAATTTGTATATCAGTTATCATCTCCCAAGTGATAATATCTTTCGAGATCTCATTTCATCATCCACATGACATAACTAATCAATTAATGTCATATTACTTGGATATAAAAATTGGAATACAACCTTGGGATTCTTAAAAACTATATAAAATGTGTACTATAAACGTTAAATTGGATAGTGAACAAATTTTCTGAAGGCGACTGTATATTACATACATCCCCAAGGGACGATAACCTATTAATTGGTTTGATCTCTTGTAGTAGAAGTAAGAGATCGCAGAATTAAATCTAAGCTTACTAAAATCACTCAAACCCTGATTAATACTTAACATTTCACACAAAATCAAACTGTTTAACCTCGGCTGCCTTCAACCTTGCATCTCATTTAGACAAAACATAATCAAAGTTACTGACTCATATACGCTTCCACATGAATGAATTCAAATCACTTCCGACACCTATGTATCTTGTTCATGCGACGAATCAAAGTATAACCGGCTGGCTAATCTAGGCTGCTGAGATTTCTTGGACTGAATCTTTTTTTGAGGAATCACATCTTCCACTCTCAGCTCCTATTTTGATTCCTTGTGATAATACTAGTCTTAACTTATTTTGGCTGCTAGATTGTCGATGAACGGATTACTAGGTTTCAATCAATTCCTTCTCAAGAAAAACTTGCAAATTGATGCCATGATCAGAGCATTACCTACTCAACAGATTGTTTCAAGACACAACACAACAATTTCTCTGAAATTCATGTTCCTCTCTTTTCCTATAATTTGATAATAACAACTATTTGAACCAGAATAAACTCACCAGAATTTCTGCTCATGACTGCCGCATGCAAAGCCGTCTTTGCACCGGGTCCTCCGTGGGCCGCCGCTCTGCAGCTTCCTAATATTGCAACCACCATCTCCGGATATCCTCTTGCTGCAGCAAGGTAAAGTGGGGTTTCCCCATAACTATTAGTAGAGTAAGAAAAATCAGGATCACCTGTTCTCGTTAAAACCTTCACCACTTCTAAGCTTCCATACTGCACTGCCTCATGCAAAGCTGCGTTTTTTTCATTGTTAGCCATCTTCAGCATCTCCCACACAGGATTCAACCCGCCACTCTGTGAGGTTCCACGTTGAGCCCTTGAATGCTGAAAAAGACTTTTCACCATAGCCGAGTGCCGGCATTTTGCGGCAACATGAAGGGGAGTATCGCCATTGGCGTTGAATTGCAACAAGAGTGATGGGCATATGGTGAGTATTTGATCAACGAATATGGTGGACGCCATTGCTTCATTTTGGTACTTGATGTTGACATGCAGAATGGTGTCTTCTAACTTTGTTACTACTTCTTCAAGATTTTTAGGGCTGTCCCTGAAGGGTTCGACGTTGCCTTCAACTGCGGCCTTGAACAAATGGGTATCCATGCGTTTGATTGAATAGGAAGAGAATCCAATGCTCTTATGAAGAGAAGAAGATGAAGACCCAAGTCGTCCACTAAAACAAGAAAACACTTCAGTGACAGATTAGTAATATGACCCCTACAAATCAGAAAATGCCACATTTAGGTCCCTTAATAGGAATTCAAGTATTTTAGTAATTTTTTAATTTAAAAGGGGTTGCCTAGTATTTTTATATTCCTCTAATAAAAGAACCTTGATCTAGGGTGAAACCAGAAATTTATTTTTCAGGGTCTACCAAAATTTTAAAATTATATATATATATAACAACAATCCCTCTATAGTTAAATTTTGAGTATTAAAATAAATGGTAAAAAGGTAATTTGATAATATTTATTAACAATTTAAATTTTAACGGTTCACTTCTGATTCATTAACAGTAGGAGAAGTTTTGTTAAATAAGAGGCCTTAGAAAGATTATTATTATTATATCATACCTTAACGAGTCTAGTTTTAAACTCTAAAAAAACTTAGAAATTGATGCTTATATATATATATTATAAGTTTTATAATTTTAAAGTAATATTTTATTTAAAAAAAGAAGAAGACGAAGATAGTGCCAGTTATACCTAGCAAATGAGTGGGCTGGGTGGGTATGGGTTGGATCAAAATGAGTACGGGTACAATAGGTTGGAGTTCTAAACGGGTAATGAAATATAAAACTCGTACTCGACTCTTATAAGTACGGGTGGACTCACGGATCACCTTTTTTTGGGTAGATGTGGTGTAACTTATATGAAGTCACCCGTTTCATGTTTATTCATACTTTCTACATGGACTAATGTTACCACATTTCCATAACTACTTTCTTTTTATACATAACCTTCATTTTCTAAGACAATCCCATTGAATTCTTGTTTTATTGTTTGATTTTAATAAATTGACGATATATTTGGAAAAAGAGAAAAAAGAAATCAGTGATTTCCTTTTGCTTTTTGCCTATCAAATATTACTTGGTTCAAAGTCTCATCTCTTTATATTGGAAAGTTGATAAAAGAGGGGAAGACTTGACAAAGGCAAACCGAAATTGACTCAAGTCAACTAATTACTCACATTAATTAGCTTTATCACATAATTTAAAATAATTAAACGAAAATGACTCAATAATTCAATATAATATGGAGCAATCCACGTGAGCATGTCCAATAAGAGAAAAAAGTAAAAACATAAAAAGTAAAGCTAGCTTTAACAATCCCTTTCACAATTTTTATCTTTAAGAGTGAAGAAAATCCTTATCTCCACCGAATCAATACGTAGGATAGAGATTAGATTAAATAATAAGTGTATAGTTAAAATATTGTATTGAGTTTGACTAGATCCAATAACGAAATAAACATATTACAACTCAATACCTCAGTCTAGTTTTGGTTGGGTTTACGCTTACATCTACCTTGCTGATTGACCATCCTATAGGATGATCCAATTTGACCATCCTATAGGATGATCCAATTTGTGAAAAAGAACATTCTATGGGTCGGTCCACTCTATGAGCCAAACCACACCATGAGTTAGCTCATCTCCCTGTGTTGGGCTACTTTACGAGTTGGGTCTCTCTACGAACAATGCCACCCTACGAATTGAGTCATCTTGCAATTTGAGCCACTCCATGAGGTGGGCATTTCCTACAAGTTAAGCTAAATCAGGCTCCAGCCCATTAACCCACATTCATCCCAAAATAGGAATCATAATCTATTTACTTTCCACTTCAATCAAGATCCAAGATCTTACTTGAATTGCTAATGCTAATCTGATAAAGGCAAGCACTAAGACTTTGCTCCTAATTCGAACTCCTCTACCAAGTAGGACTAAGAGTTATATTAGAATTCCAACATCCTTGATTCACTATATAAATAGGGGCAAACCCTCTCATTATTCATTCAAAAATCACTCATAGCTTTAGCTCCCAAATTATGGCTCTCAACAATTTCCATTTTCCTCGATGCAAAGCTTAGTTCTGACTTACTTCACCACCCTCAACCATTACCAAGCTACGCTCCAATCACTTTGTGTTAGTCTTGCCCTAGCCGGACCGTTACAGTAAACCTATCCTGCTCTCAGTTCTCACTAAAATACATTCAACTGTGTTGACTTGAGTGTCAAAGTGTCTACGACAAACACTACACCACTGTCCCCCGAGCCTTCATGTTCGCCCTATCTTTCTGTGCAATTCCATTTGAGTGTCAGTAGCTTGCTTCTCACAACATTTGCCCCTTCCGAATCAATAGTAGATTTTATAGTCTACATAACTATTTTCAAAATATCAATACATCTGATAAATATCATACATAATTAAGCTATTATGACTGAATCTTAAAAACTGAGGATTACTGCTATTTTCTTTTTATATGTAACCTTCATTTTTTGAGACAGTCCCATTGAATTCCCACCGAGTTCTTACTTTATTGTTTGATTTTAATATATTGGGAAAAGGAGAAAAAAGATATCAGTGATTTCCTTTTGCTTTTTGCCTATCAAATATTACTTTAAGTATCATCTCTTTATATTGGAAAGTTGATAAAAGAGGGGAAAGGCTTCATAAAGGCAAACCGAAATTGAATCAAGTCAACTAATTAATTACTCGTATTAATTAGCGCTATTACATGATTATAATTAAACCAAAAGACCCAATAATTCAATATAATATGGAGCAATCCATGTGAGCATGTCCAATAAGAGAAAAAAGTAAAAACATAAAAAGAACTAAAGAAGAGCTAACTTGACCAATCCCTTTCAAAAGTTTTATTTTTTAGATTGAAGAAAATCCTTATCTCCATCGAATCAGTACACAGTATAAGGATTAGACTAAATAATAAATTTATACAACAATCATCTAGAAACCACTCTTTCTAAATCTTCGCCAACAAGAATTTCTTTGTGATGAAGGTTTTATTTTGATAAAAGTTAAAGACTAATACTATTTTGACAAAATTCTCTTTTTAAATAATATTAAAATGAATAGTAATATCCTTTTTTTTTTAAAAAATTTTTTTTTTTTTTATAGACACTATGAATATACCCAATCCACCTAAAAAAAATGGGTGGACGAGGCATGGATACTATTGCCACGGTCTTAAATATATTAATCTATGCTCGCTTAAAATGCATGGGTACGGGTATGGATAGACTCATGGCTCATGGGTACACTACCCGTTTTGCTGGGTCTAGTGCCAATATTATGAATTAAACTTATTTCAAGATTGTCGGAAAGTGAAGGAGTGATGCTTCCGAAACTAAGAAGGAAAAATTGTTCTTTGTAATTAATCGGGGGTTGAAAATGTCACCCAGCCGAATAAATAAAGGGTGCGTTTGTTTTAGTATTTTTGAAAAAGTAAGAGTTGAGTGGTAATAACAAGTTAGGATTTAAAAATTAACAAAAACACTTCCTAAGTTTGTTAATTTACTAAACACCCTTGTAATAAAAACATTAAAAATTACAAAACACCCCCACCCACCCATTAAATACAGGCAACCGTCCACCACTGCCGGAGGATGACCGGAGTCGCCGCATCGGCGTACGACCGGTTGGATCTGGCTAGTTGTGTGCTGAGATAGCCTTTTTCAGCCAGATCTATCGTGCATCTGGTCGAAAAAGGTCAAATCTATGGCCAAATCTGGCCATTGAGGGTTAGATTTGGCCACTGACGACCAAAGATATGATCGCCATTGATGACTAGCTACGGTCAAAGATCTAGTCATCAATGGCCAGATCTTTGGCTGGAAAATGCTATATCGGTGCACTACCAGTCAGATCCAATCATTAGTGTGCTATTATATCAGATTCTAGCCACCTTCTGACAGTGGTGGCCAGAATCTGGCAAATGTGGGTGGATGGTGGTGATTTTGTTAATTTCTAAACTTTTTTTGAGGCTGTTTAGTAAATCAACAAATTTAGAAAGTTTAAAAAATCAAATCAAATATAATAGAATTTTTAAATAAATGTATATTTTAGAAAGAGTAAACGACATATTCCCACCCAAGGTTTGACGAAATCCCAGACCCCAAGTTCCATATATTTCAGATTCCCACTCTTAAAGTAACATAAAATGGTTAGATATAACGGCTCAGGGATAAATTGGTCATTTCGCAGAGGAGGCGCACATTAGCAGATCTCTGCCCCTAACAAAGCTCCAGCGCACGTTAGCCAACATCACCGTAGAGATTTTTCGCCCTTTTTCGACGATTCTTCCACCCAAAATCACCCTTGTCACCATTATTTGAACCCTCATTCCCCCCTCTACAAAACCTTACCCTTCACAACCCCTTATCACTCGCCGATCACCAGCCACATGCGATTGGTTTTCATCGGTCTCCACCAGCGAATGGCCACTAAACGGTTGCTAGGGACATACAGGTTTTGTAGATTTAGAGATGTTGGTTGCAATGGTGATGTCCAATTGGATTTTCTTCGCCGGAATCGATCGGAATCCAGCGAAGAACGACAAAAACCTAAGCTTGACGACGCCGACAATTGGAGGGGCCAATGAGTCAGGAACCAAAGGGGTTTTGGAAGACGGACGATGGGGAAGGTGATGGAGGTGACAAGGGGGTTCAACACCATCAGAAACAACTTAGATCCGGTGAAAACCGAGACAGTGCGTAGTCACTGAAGGTGTAATTGAAGTAATTTCAAAATAAGATGGTTAATTTTATAATTTTAGTAATTTAGGGGTTAAAACATAATTTATTAATTTAGGGTTAAGGGCATTATGGTAATT